TCCTGCAGCAAGTTCTGCGCATGTAAATTAGACCTGATCAAGTCAATTGGGACGAGATGTTGCCCAAGGTAGCCAGCGTTTACAATAACAACATGCATTTGTCTACCGGTCGCACTCCCAACGAGTTGCACAAGTCCTTCAGACCCCGCAGACTGTTTGAGGGACTTACCCGGGATCAGATTCACAGGCTACCGCCCGGAACCAGGGAGTTTGCGATACAGCACGAGAGAGAGCTAGCTACAGTTGTTGAGAACCTCAGGAAGGCCCAACACAGAAAGATAGAACAGGCAAACAAGCACCGTCGCCCGTCTCAGTTCCAAGAAGGCGACTTAGTCTGGGTCAAGTCCAAAGAGTTTGCCCCTGAGGAAAACATCTCACAGAAGTTACTGCCTGCATACAGAGGACCGTGGACAGTTCTAGAAGTCAAGGGCGGAGAGGATGGACCGTCCTACACAATAGAAATTCCAGCACACCTCCACACCTATCCTGTATTCCATGCCTCAAAACTGTTGCCGTGTGTCACAAGTCAACAGTTTAAGTCAACAGTTTCCTTCCAGACGATCCATGATCCCTCCGGATATGGATGGAAGATATGACATTGACAGTATTGTAGATGAAGATGTATTCCGATGTATTCCGAACAGGAGGTAGAGGTCGTCCACAGAAACAGTATAAGGTCCGGTTTGCTTATCAGGAACCGGAAGACGACCGCTGGTTTATTAGAACAAAACTTCTAGAAACAACTCCCGACATAGTTAGAGCCTATGAGCGTGATAAAAAGGCTAAAGGTCCGGCCTTAGACTAAAATCTTCTCCGAGGACCTCGAATTTAGTACGGCGGGAGTGAAGTGGTTTTCACCTTTTGCAGTAGCAGATGCAGATCCCAGGGCTCGATCCCTAGTCCTCACCCTACCGTGTACAGTACCTGTGTAGACCCCTGGAGTTGAACCTGTGACCTGTGTATTTGTAACAGTTGGTAGGTCGCCGTAAGGTCTGTAGGTAGCAGGGGTTCGATCTGTAGATCTGTCGAGTAGAAGTCTTAGTGAAGTCTAGAAGTCTCAGCTGTAGCCTTTTAGAAGGTCGGCGAGTGGGCAAGTGGTCAAGTGGTGAGCCAAGTGGTGGACTAACTGCAGTACGATCGCAGTGCGATCTCGGTAGGTTAGCAGTGAGTCCCCAAGCAATCAGCGGTGCAGTCCAGTCAGTCCCAGTCCAGTCCAGCAAGTACTAGAGCCATGCGGAAGCGCTGCCACAAGCGACTTGTGTAAGGAGGTATGCAGTGAGCCCGAGGAAGAAGTGGGCGAAAGAGGAGGAGTTAGCCATAGCGATAGGGTAGCAGCGGCCATAGCCGCCATAGCTGTAGTTAGTGTTCAGTGTGTGTATGTGTGAGTCTTCAGAGAGTCGCGTGTGGGCTATCGAGGGTGATCCAGTGTATGCGAACAGAGACTTGTTTGGGCGCTGAGTCGCCATAGCCGTTGAAAGTGAACTCGTATCTGGGTTACCATATCTCTGAGTATTGAGTGGGCGCATGTTGCCAGTTTGCTGCGCTACTGTTTGCATGAATGTAAAGTGTGAATGAAAGGGAGTCTGATTGCAATCTGCCTTGTGGGGAGGCTGCCTCGTTTTTTATAGTGCTGGCCTCTTTTTGCGAGGCTGGAATTCAGTCTTTATTGGGTCCTTCCCCAGTCCCAGGCCTCTGTGGAGTGTGTCCCAGTTCCTTATCGTCAAGGTCTGCTGCTGCTGCGGCCTTCAAGCCTGAATTTCGGACTTCCAATTTGTATCTAGACTTTCCCTTTGACTTGAATCTGGCCTGGGACCTTATCTCTTTGACTTCTATATGAACAGACACACTTACTGTTCGACAGACACACTTACTGCACGAACAGACACATCTCCTGTATGAACAAACATGACTTGCACACCCCCTGGATGAACAGATGTGACTCCCACAATTGAATACTGCAACTGTTTGTCCAGGGGCACAACTGTGACCTTTGACATGACTGTTTACTTCAGTTAGGATTTGACTTTTGTCCCAGAGAACATGTCCTTTGATCTGCTTTTCACGAGTGTCTGCTTTTCACGAGTGACCCCATAATGCTGCGTTCGTCTTTCAGGGTCTGAATCGGGTAGAGGCCCTTTTAGAATTCACAATGGTTCATCTTTGTTATAGTGCATCGCTTTTCTAAGTATGCCAGACTAATCGCTATGCCAGAAGATGCTAAGACTGACTACGTCATCAAACTCTTTATGGATAACTGGGTACGTGACTTCGGTTTGCCTACATCTATTGTTAGTGACAGAGATGTGAGATTCACCAGTGAACTGTGGCAATCAACTGCTGAAAAGATGGGTACAAAGCTCCAAATGACATCAGGGAATCACCCTGAGTCAAATGGCCAAGCAGAACAGATGAATCGAGTAGTACAGCACCTGCTTAGACATTATATCAAGCCAAGTCAAGACGACTGGGACGAGAAACTACCCCTCGTCGCCAGCTTGTATAACAACGCTGTGCACAGTACTACAGGAACGACTCCCAACCAACTGCACCTTGGTTGGAAACCCAGAACTGCACTTGACTTTCTGCTACCAGAAAGAGAACTCAGATGCTGCAGCAGGCCGTTGAACATATCAGGAAATCTCAGGATGCAATGATTGCATCTGAGAATAAGCACAGACGGCCCTCTAACTTTCAGGTAGGTGATAGAGTCTGGGTTAAGTCATCTGAACTACGTCAGGAGTTAGGCATTTCATGAAACCAATGCCACAGTACTTTGGGCCCTGGGAGATCTTAGACATTGTAGGGGGTCAACCGGATGGGCCTTCATACGTGATTCGCATTCCTGCGCACTTACGTACTTACCCTGTGTTCCATGCCTCCATTTGGCACCTTTCGCTGTCACTGATCAGTTTCCCTCAAGAAGATCAATGCTGCCCCCAACCATGGATGGCGAAGTGGACATTGACCAGATCGTGGAGCATCAAATGATGCCAGTACCTCGACCATCAGGCAGAGGCCGGCCTCCTAAACCAAGAATGCATTATCGTGTGAGATTCAGAAATCATCTGGATCCCAAAGAAGATCGCTGGTTCACACGAGAGGAACTCATGAGAACAGCACCTCAAGTGATTGCAGGCTACGAAAAGGAACTCAAAGGGGAGATGCCTGCAGAGTAACAGACTTCTCAGAGGACTAACGAAGTAAAGGAGGAGGGAATGTGAGGATCTGGGTCCTCGGCAGGCCTGAAGGGCCTCTGTTGCAAGAGTGCCAGCCCTAAGTGAAGGCGGGCCTAGGATATCACAAGAGGCCCTTGACTGTCAAATTCATATTTGCGGTCCAGGCAGTTGCGATGCGCCAGTTGGTTGAGGAAAACACAGGCCGAGCAACAAAGACATTTCTACGGCCTTCTGGGCCTTTCCAAGGAATGCAGGCCCTGGGCGAGAATCGCAGCATCATACATTGACAGTTGGGAGGCCCGACCGCAAGAGGCCCAGTAGCTGCACACAAGCGCAGCATCCTGGGGCCTACCAGAAGCTTCTGGGCCCAGGCCTAGCCCAGCCAGGCTGCGCGAGCAGGCCAGCTCTTTCCATATAGGAAAGAGCTCTACCCGGTCAGCGGCATTCAGGCACTCGCATGCTAGCGGCAGTGCTGCTGGAGCAAAGGCCCGTGGGCTGCTGCTGGCGCTGAGAGGCGAGGTGCAGCACGTGCGGTCGTGCAGGGAAGTGGGGCGCTGCTGAGGGCAGCGTCATAGCCCATCCACCATAGCTGGTGGGCTTGGACTACAGTGAGGCGCATAAGTGGTCTTCGGGTGTAAGGGAGGAAGACGTGGGTGTAAAGTTAGTGAAGGGTGAAGGATGATGATGATGTGAGGGCACATACCTTGTATTGGCGATGGTCTGCATTTGGGCGACATCTTCAAGTACTTCAGGTTGCCGCTGATGTCAACAGTTGCATTGTCAATTAGAAGGCTGATCGTAGCTGTGTAGGAGTAGGCTGGGCGCTGAGCGCCAAGTAGGAGTGTGAAGGGACTGGACTCTTGTGTTGGTGTGGAGAGAGAGAAAGCTCTCCTTGACATTGGTTTTCAGTACTACGAACCTCCATTGGTGTATTATTGGTGCAATGCTGCTCTCTGGACACGGTGTGACTATCTGGTTTTCAATGTGATGGTGTAATCTGAAATTGTCATCTCGCTGCTGCTCATTTTCCTTGCATCCCTCATATTCCTTGCAATTATGAATTCTCCTTTGTTTTTACGGAGCTTTTGATGATCGATCTCTCAAGCAATCTAATATACTCGGAAAGAAGCAATGGTCGTAGGCTAAAGCTAGAGAAATATTAATCACACAAGTCGGGGGTGCCCGACAGAGTGTGAAGACATTCTCATAGGAAGCAGGCATACAAGGTAGTTTGGAAGTATGAACTAGACGACGAGGCAGTCACAGTATGAGAACAGGTCTAGGATAAAAGCGTCTAATTTGTTTTCTGTTAGAGTGTTGGTTAATCCTTCCTACCAAGGGAGTAATCGATCTAGTGACTCAATCAGGAGAGGGGGGCTCAAGGTAGCCTAGAAGTACAGAAATTTCAGGCAGTCTGGAGGATGAGAGGAGCTCGAAGAATGTTCACGGTTGCAGGGGCAGGGCAGTGGTAAATCCTTCCTGGAAAGGAAGCGATCAAGGTCCACTGCCTCAGGGTCCTCCAGCCATGATGGAAGTAAGCGTTGAGTGGGTTTTTATGTAAGGGATGCTGGACCCAGTTTCTTGCATGTATAATAGAAGCCGATATGTTTTTGAAAAAAAACGTTATTGGGTTATCGTCTCAACCAAAAGCTGCTTGGAATTATTGTTAGTATCATTTTCTTTGAATAATAATTTTGGATCTTTTGCCCCATGCCCTTTGGGACATCTGCTAACATTGGAATGGTATTGAGAAGATTAACATGGCCCTGAGTGTGGAGTGCCCTTTTCAATCTAATTTGTGCCTTCCCCTTCTGACTTTTCCAGGTATACCGGCGATTGCAGGAGAAGGTGGAGTCCCCAGAGTTCTTGGAAACGTTGGCCCGGCCTCCTGAAATACCAACAGATTCTCCCGCGGAGACGAGCATAACTGCTAAAGGTGTTTGTGTGTCGATTTCGTTTTCTCTTCTTCTTTTCCGTGGTTCGCATAATCTCCTTCTTGTTGTTCGACTCATGTCTGCTGCTGGCTTTCTTTCTGAAGCCTGTGTACAGTGCCTTGCTGCCATCCTTGTACTCTAGGCCATCCTTGCTGCCGTCTGTCATCTTCTTCCCTTGCTTCCTAATGAGCGGACTTTTGGCTGTACGACTATGCTGCTTTTGACGAAGGGCAAGAAGCCAGTGAAGTAGAGGCAATCAGGGGACAAACAACCGGCTAAAGTATTTTGCAAACACTTCCTCTGCAAACCAACTCCAAAAGAGTTATATATGCAATGAAGTGTAGGAAACCAGCACAATGAACCGAGAAGCAGAGATCTTAGTTTTGAATAGAATGTTCTTTTGTCTATATATGGCTCTTGCAAGGCACAGTGATGGAAATCTTGATTGCAGCCTTGCTGCTTGATAACTCAGTTCGTTGTGCCTGTTCCATTATGGAGTAAGCTTATTTACAGTCATGGCACAACTCGCCAATGAGCCCTGACATGTGATTCACACGGCTGTGCGCAACCATACCTTTTTGTTGCAGTATCGTACTGCTCTGTGCAATTCGCTTTCAAGTACTGTTCTGCTCATCACGGATGGCGATAGGCAATAGCAGGGCTAATGAGAGTCGTGAACCTGCTGAGTTCCCTAACGCATTCAAAGATCTGGAAGCTGTCCGTAGATGGAGGAAGCCATTCACAGAGAAGATTGGTGCTACTCATAACGCCTGAGCTGTAACTGTTGTCTTTGGATGCCACAGCTGCCACAGAGGTCTGTGAAACTGCAGCGAAGTAAATGCTGGTCTTGTAACCAGGTAGCGCTGCTGAAGACAATTTCATGCACTGACTGGAATCATTCTAAATCACATCAGTGTCTATTTTTTGGCATGCGGCCGAATGGATGCCGATGCACCTGTGGTGCTCATCCTTGACCAGAACAAGAATGGTGGAAGGGACATGTTATCAGTCTTTTAGCGTTGGGCTCATTCTTGACCAGAACAAGAATGGTGTACTGAAATCATTGTAAATCACATCAGTCACGATCAGTGTCTACTTTTCGGCATGTGGCGGAATGGATGCCGATCCACCTGTGGTGCTCATTCTTGACCAGACAAGATTTTATGCACTGACTGGAATCATTGTAAAATCATATCAGTGTCTATATGCTGCTGGCTTTGGGCATTCCACCTCAATAACAGGAACTTAGCCTAATAAACTGAACGGGACATGTTATCCTTCTCTTTGGTATTCTGAATATGTATCCGGATGCGAATTCATGCACTGACTTGGAATCGATGTAAATGGCTTGTGGCCGCATGGATGCCGATGGACCTGTGGTGCATGTGCTTGACCAGAACAAGAATGGTGGACGGAAAGTTGTATGTTGCTGGCTTTGGGCATTCCACCTCAATAACAGGAACTTCGGCTGGTAAACTGAACATGGTATCCTTCTCTGTAGTGTTCTGAATATGTGCCGGGTACGAATACATGCTGCCCCAGCTGAAGATATTTATGAATGTGAAAGGAATGCAATCGCCAACCTTGGCATGGACGGTATCATGTGCACCCCTGTGTACAATCTTACGTCGAGAAAAAGTAGAATGATGGAAAAGATGCGGCCCCTAGGTGCTATGCTGTGCCTCATCACGACCTTCCCTTCTGCATCGACGCCTTTTGAAGGTGGAGGTTCATCTGATCCAGTGGGGGCACAGAGCATGTAGTAGGCTGTGCACAGGTGTCATAGGGCATTCAGTGAGAAGAGTTTGACGGGACTGTAGATAGATTCCGATTGTTGTGTTTAATAGTCCTTCAAACCGATGCTGAGTGCAGCGGGATGTTTTTCTGGTGACATCATCCATGGGATTATGAGCAGATGGAATTCTTGTGAATGTAGATGTAGCAAACCCAAGCTGGTGGACATGGGTGACGGAGAACGATATGCATGGAGGGGAGCCGACGGAAGAGCAGGATGGTCTTGGTGGCGAGAATTATGTCCTCATTGAGGCTGACGATGTCGTGGATGGCATCGCAAACTTCATTGCTCGCTATCTGCAGTCACTTCCTCAGACAAAGGTTAGTTCAATTCGCCCTGCCTGCCAAATAGGATCGACGGGTTGCTTTTGGAGCTTAATCAGCCTGATACCTCCCATCTAGTGGCGTTGTTCTTCAGTAATATGAGTGATGAACGCCCTTTTCTTGGTCTTTGAAGTGATTGAGACTGCCCTCCTTCCTTACACCGGTTGTTGTAATTCCTGTGTTCTGCTACATGTTTCTCCCTGCGCGTCAAGCTGGGCATGGTTTGCCTGCTTGTTGCTTGAAGCCCAACTCTCAAGTACCCTTTCAGCGTATAGCGCTTGAATCTGATGAGCAGCAAGTGTAGCAGGGTCCTGACGTCTTTCAGGTGCTACTTGCCAGGTGATCCTGGTCTCTAGCATATTTGCAGAGTATTGAACTTTGTTCTCTTCTCTAAAATTCCCCTCTTGTGAATTGTCTGTAGTTTGTGTTCTCTTTGATTCTTGAAATAGTTTCCGTGAACTCTGTTCACTTCTCTGCAGTTCCCATCTTGCGCACTCTGTACTTTGTGTTCTCTTCGATTTTTGAATTAGTTTCCTATGTAACTATTGGACATAACATTCTACAGCCTCATTCTTCTCATTTTTGAATGCTGTCATATTCGAGGTGATCTTCTGGTCTCCACATGATCAGTCTATGAATGAGCCAGCATGCCAATTGATGAGTCAGCACTACCTCCCAGAGGCAGCCCCATCTTGCTGAATCATCCATTGGTGTGTGTTGTGTGAATTGTTAAGGTCTGCTTGGTTGATTGGCCTGAGTGGGCACTTATGGACAGTCCGTTCTCATTTAAACACCCGGGGAAACGATGGCATTATGTCCGGGGGAAATGATGTTCAATTTACATTTCCTCTTCGCTCCTACATGATGCTTCATCATTGTTTTTGCAGAGTCTGTCCATTTTCTTGGATAATCTGCTGGCGTGTGTTGGGTGAACGATGAATGCCTGAACAATGTTCAGTTCATGTTTCCTTTTAGTTCCGACATCATTTTTCTTGACAGGATGCAGAACAGGAGGATGAGAAGGAGCTTCTTGCATGCCTCCCATATGCCTGCCCTGTAATGAAGAAGAAAGCTGTTATTCCTCATTTGCCAAAAGTTTAGCGTGACGATTCCTTTCTTTTGCAGGTGTGGATAGGTTGTGGAGGGAGGGAGGGAGGGGG